TTGAGACTCTTTGGAGCTTTGATGTTTTAACAGCATTCGTACCTTCGAATTGTCTCTCTAAGATCCTCCAAGCTTCTTGAGCAGTCGTGCACTGGATTATTATTTTGTGCCGGGTGGGATCTACCGCAGACATAATGGCATGTAAGGCTCGAAAGTTAGCCTCTTCTGCTTGCCTCTCATCGTCAGTCCAGATGCTCCTTGGTTTCTCAACCAATACTTTGGTGGTTGATGACTTCCCATCCGATGACTCACCAACCTTAGTTTCAGCAGGAACTTTTTCTTGAAGTGGTAAAGTCCAACCATTTTCCACCGCCTGCCATGTTCCTTTACCAAGGGATCGAAGGAAGATCACCATCATGGATTTCCAGTACGAGTAGTTAGAACCATCAAGAAACGGAGGGCGCGTAACAGACATCCCATCATGACTCATGGTGCCCGATACACAGTCCCAAAGATCTTTATCCCGTAATTAGAACAGGAACACTGCTCTGGTGCCAAATGAAACGTATAATTCTCACGGAGTGCGCTTAATGGTGGAACAAACTGAAATAAGAACTGAATGATGCGGAAGCAATAAACCGAAGTTTTTAAAACTCTTCAGGGAAGCGTCCCACTTCCCCTCGGAGCTCTTTCATTGATAGATCAAACATGCACATAGCTTGGACTTACGACAACTCGAACTCCCTTCAAGCCTAGCCAACTCTATATAGATCCTATCAACTAATTCTCCGGCCACGTCCCGTGGACTTTAATAACCTACACTTACTCCCTAAGTGTATAAGCTGTAAAATGATTTTTAGATGAAACACAAAGAACAAAATAAAACAGCTTCAGTCCTTGAGTTAGTTCGAACTCTCAGACTGAACTGTGTACAACTCAAAACAAAACAGAAAACACGAAGCTCAATTATTGCTCTATAAATCTTCAAAACTCAGCAGCCGCAATGAGAGCTTGCATACGGGTATTTAAAGTAATCTCCTTAAGGTTGGAGTCTTCTACAAGGCATAGGACTCCAACCTTGATTTCTTTCCTTGATTATAGCATGAGAATTTTGTAAGTGAATCTTCTTCTCTCTCTCTCCTTGATCTATTTATCATGCATGTCTCTCCCTTCCTTATCTTATCCGATTTCCTACAAAACAAAGTACCATAATAAGATCCATAATATCTTATTTATGGAATATAAAATAATCGTAATTAAGGAAACAAATAAGC